GGGGGTTTTTTGAAACAATTAAGACTTATTCCACCCTGGGACACAATTCGGTGGCCTCCTCTGCCCAACCCACCAGCTCAGGGCTCCATTTCAAGGGCAATATTTTGCCAGCTCCTGGTTTGGAGAAAGGCTAGAAACCAGCCTGAGTATCGCCCGAACAATGAGGATCAAACGTCGCTGCGGGGCCACGGGGTCTGAAGGGGCAGGTGTCCACGAGCCGTGGCTGGAAACCAGGGTGGAAGTCATTGAGCAGTATTTATGTGCTGTCTTCCAGCACCAAGGGAAGGATTTGCACAGCCATTTAGGGGATTGGGATGCCCAGTTCCCATTCACTTCTAATGGGAACTGGCCATACAAATCCCTCTCTGAGGCATCAGGGTCACTGCTTTCCTCCAGGGAATTAAGAACCAGCTGTGCCATTCCCCTGATGGACAAATGAGCGGGGGTCCATGGAGGGGTGGGAGGTGCCCGGATTCACTGTGCAATCATCACACCATACTTCGAACACAGCAGGCTCCTCTTCTTCTCCCGGTCGGTTAGGAAACTCCTCAGCTTGGTGGTGGAGAAGGTGACCACCGCCTGCTGCTTGTTATCCAAGCCTGTCTCCTGCAGCCAGGGGATCTGCAGACACTCTGCTGCCGATGGCCTCCCCCTAAGACAGGAAAGAGCTGCCGTGTCAAGAAGAGGTTGGACCAGGCAGAGCCCTGCTGGGAGGGATCGCTGCTAGCTACCGCGGGAGAAAGACAGGAGCAAGAGCTGGGCCCTGCATGAGGTTTTGCAAGAAAGCATGTATCCTCTTACCAGGGATTGGCGCAGAGCGTGCTCTGGAGAAACGACACGGCCCCTCCAGACAGCCCTGCGTAACACCGAGTGAGCTTGATCTTCCCTCTCCTGGCGATTCTGGGGAAGTCGCAGGCCACCTCCGAGCTGAGCGGGTAGTTGGCGCTCAGCCTAGTGACAAAGAGGAGGGTGAATCAATGTGAGGCCTCCCAGTCCCATCCCCGGGCCCTTTTGGAGAACGCCTATGAAATGGTGCATTAACAGGGAGGAAGCAGATGACACCAGGGCTTGGAAGTGTCAGCTGTGCAAGGGCTGGTCTGCTCAAGAGCGTGGCTGGAGTATGGATGGGCTCTGGGTATCCTGAGCTGATGGCACAGGACCTCGGGGCTGCTGATTCAGTGTCTTTCTGCTGGTGCATTTCCCCTGAAGCTCCAAGGGATGTTAAAGCTGATGCTAGGGAACAAGGGACCGACTTACATGATGAAAGCAGTGACACCAACAGCCCAGATGTCAGTCTGCGGGAGGGCTCCTTGTTCTGACTGGAGCTCTGGAGCTAAAAAGAGCACATCAGTGTAAATGGAGTTTCCTTCCAAGACAGGATTTTGTTTCTAGCAGAAAGCTGCGGGCTGCTTCTAATCCTTGCTATGTTTCAAAGGAAAGAGGAAGAAAGGGTCCATAATAGGGGCTGAGACACTGCCGCGGAGCATTAGCACAAGTCATTGGACAAGGACTAACAGGGACTGCGGCTGCACAGAGCTTTTCCTTTGCTATGCATTTCTTGTTCTCCTCTGGCTGCTCTTGTTGCTTTTGCCTGAGCAATGAATGCATTCGCTGCAGTGCACGTATATAGCAGCAGGGCCCGATACCCCTCTCACTTCCAGCACTGGGAAGCTAGGGTAACCGTGGTCAAGCTACGCAAGTCACACTGGGGTAAGTAGGAAGATGCTCGCTGGATGTGCTCCAGCTGTGTCCATCAATGCCCATGAAGGGACGCTGGGCTTCACAGGGCGTGGATAGCCCTGTGCACCACTGGAGTTGGGAGCTGAGAGCTGCCAGCCCAGTCCTTGGAGGCAATGGCTCAGGCAGGCTGGTACTCCTATTCAATTCTCTCCTTCGCAACCAACTGATCTCAGGGTGGGGGCCATGCACGTACTGGCTCAGAGCATGCCACAGCCCAGGCTAGGCCAGACTCTGCAGGGGCCTGTTCTTAAGTCTACCACTAAAACCTCCTCCACTGCTGCATAAGTGAGACGGGCATCTATCTGTGCCAAGCTCAGTTTCCTGTTTGCAGGGTAACACCTGCAAAGATGGGGACTCAGAGCAGCTACAAACTCATCTGTCAGCTGCTGCTCCCAGTCTGACCTTCCCAAGGGGCAGCGATCCCAGGCCGTGCTGACCTAGTACCAGCACAACTTTGCTGTACCGCACTCACCCATGGTTTCAACATAGTCTGTGCACTTCTCCATAGTAATGGTCTTGTCTGGTGTGTAGAACTGTGCATTGCCAAAGTCCAGGAGCTTAAGCAGGTTGGGCTCAGTAATGATCATGTTTTCAGACCTCAGATCCAAATGCAGGATGTTGTGGGCATGGAGGTACTCAACAGCAATAAGAATCTGCCACAGGTAGTCTCGGACCTCCACCTCGGAATAAGATGGCCTAGAAAGGCGGAAATCATAAGCTGCTTCTGTGCTTACCTTCACTGTCCAAACTGGGAACAATTCTAGACAAACTGGATGGACTAGCCTGGGTGGAGCACTGTGTCAGTGCAGCCACCCCACTTCCAGTATCCAAGCAAGCTCATGTAGAGACATCATGGATGTCTCTAGCACGGCATGTGGTTATGTCACATTGACATCATTTCAGGATCAAAGCTGGGATCAGAATCCAACTCTTTCGCTCCCTCCTCTTATCTTCTAGGTTTAAACCCTCAAAAGGACGTCACAAAGCAGGTTGAAGGAGAAAGGGACAGAGTTGGGCTGGTTTTCAAAGTTGATGCAATTCCTGTGCAGTCTACTGTACACCTTAAAGGTTGGATTTGAACATGTCTATTAGGAAGGAGGCAGAGTTTGAGACTCTAGGAATCTAGCTGGTGATCAAACACATCAAAAAATTGATGCTTTCCATTGCTGGAGGAGAAGGCAAAGAGGCTGTGATGTTTCTCCAGGCCCTCCTTAAAGATGATAACCAAGGGGAGACATAGGTGGAAGAAGATCACCAGGATGAACATTTGGGTAAACAGCAGCAAATCTTTGCCAGATACACCAGCCCTGGACAAAACTGGCCCAGAGGGGTGCACAAGAGAGTCCTACCTGTTTGCCAAAGAGTGGAGTAGCTCTGGTCCCACACAGAGCTCCTGGATGAGGACGAGGTGCCGTGGGCTCACATAGGCTCCCTCCAGCCGCGCTATGTTCATGTGATGAAGCTTCCTCAAGACCTGATATTCCTGGAGCACAGCCTGCTTGTCCTCTGGGCGGTAAGGGATAATTTTGGCAGCCAGCGCTTTTCCACACAGTTTTTCCCGACACTGTCTGACAATGCTGAAACGACCCCTGGAGCAAAGAAACACAAGGGCAAGTTACATGTGTCCTCCCTTTTGTGGCCTGGTCCAGCCTGAGCCAGATTTTGCCATACCTTCTGTTTCATGCATGAGGCAGAAGCCAGGATTGTACTGGGTTAATAGGGGAGATTATAAGAGACATCATCTATGTGACATTTTTTAAAATTTGCTTGAAGCCAGAAGCAAAAGGCTGATTCCTGGGGTCTGCAATCAACAGCTGCAATGCCTGATACATCAGAGAGAAGATCTTTTACTAATCCATAGTTGAGCTGGGCTATGCATTAGTGAGCTCCTTACTTATCTTGTGAAATACTAATTCCCAGATGTATAAACCTGAGGGATAGGTTATTTCCTAAGGGTAAACTGAGGACCGTTGCAGGGTGACTGGGATGCATACCTGGAGTGACACCCAGCTGGCCCCCATCTTCTCCCACCTGCCCCAGGGGGAAGCTCCTCTTCTCTAACCTGTGTCTCAGAGTGCCAGCAGTGTGGGGCAGAGAGCTGACTGCAAACTCCCAAGTGTCTCTGGTTCTGTTACAACTGGTGCCTAGGTAGGAGTGCCCTGGATCTTGGGGCTAGGGACAGACATCTAAAAAGCCCAAGCCTGAATTGATTCAATCTTTGCAGGTTTGTTTAACATGCCTAGGTTGAATTGGTTTGCAAGTGTACAGACATTCCCTCTGGGCTGAGGGAATGCAGGCACATCCCTGCAGTGGCTCAGGCTAGAAGCCGTGGGGTGCTAGAGCACCCTCCCTTCCCTTCTACAGTGCTGAGCTGAGAGACAGAATGACCAGACCCCAGCAGGGTGCTCTGATTAGGGAGGGATGTAAACCCTCACCCTATCTGCAACATCCCAGGCTTTTCCCCACTAGTTGCTCAAGGGGCAGGAGTGTTGCCAAACCCGAGCCCTGGGCTAGCAGTCTGAGGCAAAGGGGTGGGGGGTTGAAGTGCATGCATCTGTTGATGATACTGAGCTTTTCAATCTCCCTCTCCCTGCTTCTTCATACTGTCTGCAAACCTGACAGGCAAGGGAGCCAGCAGGGACCCGATAACACAGAATTTATCAGCCCATCAAGAAAACAAAAGCTTCTCTTATTAGTTAAAACTCTTAAACAGCTTTTTCCAAGGAAGGAATGGAGGGACGTCGCCAGCTGACCGGTTGATTAGCTCCAAAAAGCCCTGAGCGGACACTGTTTTGTCTGCCTTTGTCCTGTCCCAGTGAAATTGGAGACACACACACAGGCACCTCTCAGCATTAGCTAGCATACCACATGCCTAGGGTCCATGGGGCTGGGGTCCGTGCTGTGGGAGATGGGGGGTGGGGATCCCTGTTTGAACAGTGAGTGGCAAGGCGGGATGAGGCAGGGGGAAGCCAGGCAGACCCCGCTGTGCCTGCAGTCTCCACTAGACCTCTAGCTAGGAAGCAGAGGGGCATGGCCAGTCCTCTTCTCTGGAGCAGACAGCCCAGCCCAGAGCTGCAAAGTATCTGGGATGCTGGGGGACTCTAGTTTAACTTAAACCTGGAAGAAGTCTGAGACAGACATTGCGTAAATCAGCTTGACCATCAGTTAAGTCTGATCCTACATTCAACCAGGTTGATCTTAAATCAGTTTCAGCCATTTTGAAACTGGTTGATGTGCATTGAACTTATGTTCTGTTACAGGTTTAAACCAGTTTCCAATCAGTTAAACCGGTTTATGTGTAATGTCTGTCCCTAGCCCAGGTACTCAAAGGGAAATTCCACCTCTCCAGAGAGAGGATATCCTGCATGGACTGGCAAGATGCACATGAAGGCTAGATGCTCCAGCAGACTTCGACTCAGGATTCAGCCACCAGACCGCTGGAGGAGGGCTGCCCCACCAACAAGCCAAGCCTCCCATGTCCTGTGATTTTACCTACTGGAGGTGTCTTTATTAAAACCAAGTGGGAAGGAGACAGGACATAGATGGGCGATTGGTAAGTTTAAGGTAGTGGCATTTCCAACGGTGAGGACCCAAACTCTAGCTGGCAATGCTGGAGTCCAGCCCCCACCTGGATTTGTGGCCTTCATACCTTTTGATCTCTGTTTGGAAGGCATAGGTTTGGTGGGTTGGAAAAGGCTCTTCAGGTGCCATTATTCCACCCTCTTCTTCGGAAAGCCTCTGCTTTGCAGACTGGAAGGCTAGAAGGAAAAAGGGACACAGGTGTATAACAACACTGACCAAATCTTCATTTAGCTAATTCCTGGGTGCCTATACATGGAGATGGAAGCAGGCAGCTGCAGTATTTCAGACAAGGCTGCTCGATGTCTAAACACCAAAGTCATCAAGGTTGTGCTTTAATGCAAACAAGTTCCCTTCACAAGATTTAGTGTTTCCTGTGGTGCCGTCACTGCAAGCATACTGTAATGTTATGCTAGAGGATGTTGGGCAAAGGGAGTGGCACAGTCTGCAGCAGGCGAGCAATGAATTTATAAAATATCTAGCCTAGGACTTTGGTTCTCACCAGGTCACAGCCCTCAGTGAGGGTGGCAGGACATTGCCTATAGCTTCCAAACTCGCCCCTATTCGTGTTTCAAATGAAGTGGGCCCAGTTACTAACAACTGCTGGATGAGCACCCCAATGAGGAGCAGCACATGACCCATTAGGGCCTCTCCTTTGAAGTACCATGTGAACTGGCATAAGGGAAACTGGGACATGTCTCAGTGGTTGGGAGATCCCAGTAAAAAAATAATGGACATGAATTTCTGGCCTAGGGCAAGCAGACACAGGTACAATTGATACACAACATTGCCATGGGCTGGGCTTGAGTTTGGTATGGTAGGATCACCTCAACTAGCAGAGAGAAATAACATGTCACATAGGCCATCATCACCCCACCTTGCCAATGCATGACTCCTTACCCAGCTGTTCTTCTTCACCAATCTTTACTTTGGCAGATGCAGTACTGTACGGGCCCATTCCAGCTTTACTGATGCAGGCTGTCCTGAAGGAGTAAACCAAGCCGCTTGGGAGATTATTGGCATAGTAGCAGCAGTCAGAGACACCAGTAGCAAGGGTCGTCCACTCCCCATCTTGGCCAAGAAAAGAAAATGTATGTCAGGGGTTATTCCAGGGGATCATCTCATTCTTTTCTCTGCTAGTCATGCTCTAGGAGCAGAAAAAAGTTGCGACATTTTTAAAAGGCGTCTCAAAATGTTGTTAACCTGGGACTGTCACTTCGTGGTGACTTTTAATGCATTACAGGGATTGCATACTCTTACTTCTGACACCAGGAACTTCACATTGGAGCAATCCAAGGACCGGTGGTTTTGGTTTGCTGGGCTGGCTATGAATAGTTTTGGTATCTTTAAATTTCTCTCTCTCCTACCCTCTTTGCCTTCCCTATACCGCTGATGTGCAAACACAAATCTATAGCGGAAATCAAAATCCCTGATATAATAATAATCTTTTACTTGGCTTTACACTGAAACTAAATGAAACTGAAAACATTGTTTGATTTAAATTGAGACCCATACAGCAGCATGAACCTGGGCTCAACTTCACTCCAGGTTTTTGGACCTTTTGGGGGAACTCAGAAGAAGTTTGTAGTGGAATCCAGATCCGAATGAACTGGAAGTGTTTTGGGGTGGCATTGTACATGTTTCACTGGGACTCTCCATTTTATACAATTGTTGAACCTAGTGAGAGGAACAGCTATGGGGTGAAATGCAAGAAGCAATATACGGGAAACGCAGCATTGCCCAAAACAAAGACGCTTGCAAGTCTGCTAAGGAGCTGGAACTGTGTGGGCAGAAAGCTTTGCTGAGGCTTGTTGGAGGCGTGGGTGGATGGAAAAGCACCCAACAGAGAAAGAGCAAATGCCTGACACAGGAGTGCATGACCTTCAAAAACAGCTTTTGTGCTGAGAAGCAGCAGCTGAAAGAACTGTGAGCAAAAGGGAAACTGTTTCTTGGTGTTATCATTTCTCCTGCATTCAGGAAAGCAGGATGCTGTACCTTCTTCTAGATGAACAGAATCGCAGCAAGGACATCTACTGCCACTTCTGCTTTCTTCTCCTAACTGGTACTACCCTCCACTTCAAGTAACAGTGTCAACAGAAGTCATGCAAGCCACTGAAGTCATGCAATATTGTTCTGTTAAATCATCAGGGAAATGACAAGGCTCTTTGGGTAAATCTGATAACTTCTATTAAGCCAACTATTTGAGTTGGTCTAATCAGATACCAGATTCACCCAAAGAATCTTGTCTGCCCATGTCCTTTGACCAACACAGCTACAACCTATGCCCCTGTAATCAGGGAAAATGAGGTGCCACAGATCCAGGGTCAGGAAACAGGAGGAAGGGATTTATTCAGGCATAATTCACATTAAGGATAGGATGTCCTAGAGTGCTCATGGGTCTTCAGACTGGGCTTCACAGTCTGTTCAGCTACAAGAAGTCCCATGTGGGTTGTGGCTTATACAGGCTATGGCAATATAAATGTCAATTAATATTATTCCAATTAGGAATGGGATAAGAGAGGCCAGGCTCAAAGGGTTTGACTCATGGCTGATGAAAGTCACTGAAAACATTATCAATGACCCCAATAGGCCTGACAGAGAGGCAGGCAACCCAACCAGAATACCCCTAGAAGCATAATGGTCTTTGAATGCAGGAGACTAATTGCACAGGCCTTGCAAACTTGGACAACTTTCTCATGGGAAAGGGAGTACATCCTTACCTTCACTTTTGCACTGTATGGCATAAGTAACTGGGATGGCAGATTCCACCGGTTTCCAGACCACCTGCACCCCATCTTCATACACCTCCACAATATCAGGAGGTGGAGGGCTCCCAGGAACCTCTGTCAGGAAGATGTACAAAATTCAAAGTATCAAGGCTAAAGGTCTGAAGACATTAGACTGAAATGAAAGATCCACACCTATTAGATGAGTAATACAAGGCTTGTTTGGTCCCAGATATCTTTCTGTTTTGAACAGGTGATCCCCACTGGGACAAAAAAAAATCATTTTGCCTTGTTTCACACCCAGTACAGACCTGAAAATGCAACTTAAACTCAATCCTGGCTAGACGGTTTTACTCGCTCTGGTCAGACCAATCGCCATATTTGAGGTCAGGAAGGGATTTGATCCCATGGTCAGATTGGTTTGGACTGTGGAGGGTTTTTGCCTTCCTATGTAGCAGGAGCGTGGCCCTCTACCTGGGATGTCTTGGGTGTATATTAACAATTTTTTACAGAAGCAGGAGGTTGGCTGCCGTGGTTCCCCAGCTTTACCTGTGGCAGGTTAGGGTGTTATGTCTTGTATTGTGTCAGGGTTGATGGTAAGAGGGTAGATTATGCATTTGTTTAGGATAGGTTTGATAGGGATGATCCTGCCTCAGGCAGGAGGTTGGACTAGATGACCTATGGAGGTCCCTTCCAGCCCTGCTTCTCTATGATTTCCATGGGCTTGCTTTCCATTTAAGAGAGCGATGGTCATAAGGGACTGGGGAGAAAGACCAGAATGCAACCTGCAGAAGGGAGCATGGCAACAAAACCTGTGGATAAGGAGCACCCGTAGGAGAGACAGCAAAATCCCCCTGAAAATATAAACCCAGTAGTTCCAATACATCATTGATGTAAGTCCATCATCTTCAATGGGCACGCACTATGGAAACTTTGACTAAGTCTGGATAATGAATGCACACTCATGCAAGCCTAGCCGCTGGAAGACAAATGTATTCTTCTTTGGGCAGCAATGTGTTCTGGGCTATTTCCTAAGATGAAAGCACTTGCAAATTTTAAAAAATGGGCATAAATTGGAGAGGCAAGCAGTTAGGAAGCATTTTGGGAGCAGTTAGGAGGTATTTCAGTTTAGGAGGCATTTTGCCCCAGCTCCAGGGGCACATGTTTCAGCCTTGCTCTGGACTGATGCCAAAAGCTTTCTGCCTTATGGGAAAGGTCAGTAGGGAGCACATCCTTCCCTTCTCCTTTGCACGGTGCAAGTAACTGGGACGGCAGCTTCCACCGGTTTCCAGACCACTGGTCATTCATCTCCGTACACCTCCACAATATCGGGAGACAGACGGCTACCAGGACGTCTCATCCTGCTCTCCCTCTCTCTCACCAGAAAACCCATCACCTCTGTGCACGTGCTCAAGTAAATCTATGGGCATCTCTATACCAGGTCTAGTAACTGCTCCCTCAAACACAACACATCTCTTTGTGGGCTGCCTCCTGAACCAGGAGCAGTAAGCTGTGTCAGAGGTGCTGCGGGCAGGCTAATCAGCATGGAGGTGAGATAACGGGCGCGACTGGATTAGTTAGAAAACCTGCAGTGCTGTAGACGTGACCATATTACTACTTCGATTTAGGAGGCAATCTGCTTGGCATAATTAAGGGTGTCCCTGGGATGTTTAACTGTGTAGACATGGTGTGCATTTGCTTATTGGGTGCTCTGAAGCAAAAATGGTAAAAAGCCATTCATCCGTCTTCTTCACTTACCTGCTTTCCTTACCAAACAGGAGGTGGATGCTGTACCTAAGGAGCTGGTGGCCACACATGTATAAACACCAAAATCCTCTGGAGTTACCACCAACATAGTTAAAAGCTGGAAGTGTTTGAGTGTGCCTGAGATCAGTATCCTACTGCTGCTGTGAAGGAGGATCCCGTCTGAAAGCAGAAGGAATACGGGGGGAAAAAATGCCTATTTTATTCTACTGAGATGTCTCAAAGATCTCTCTATTTTTGGGCAGAATAGTTAATCCCACCCTGCTGAACTGTCCCCCGCAATTTAGGTTCTCACAATCGTCTCAGTTGTGCTACAACTCCAACACCCACTACTCGTGAATCCCGGATACCCAAAAGAGAGTCGACGTCACCTCGGAACCACTCGACGTGCGGGGACGAGTGGGCAGACGTCCGGCAGGAGAGAGTCACGGACTGTCCTGGCACAGCTGTCTGGTCGGTCAGCTCTTCTACAAAAGAGGGTGCTGAAAGGAAATGGGAGAGCAGCATTGCAAACACGCTGAAAGGAGCATGTGTAAAAATTGCAAGTGATACCCCAGAAAGCACTTTTGATCTGCAGAGCTACCAAGGAGATGCAATGAAGTGAAAAAAAGAAAGATGACTGAGTCTTGAATTCTTCTCCAAAAAGCAGGACTGAGGAACACCCTACCCTACCCCCACTTCAGAATAACTTGTCAGCCTGGTGGTTACGCACGCTCCTGAGAGATGTGGATTTGACCCTTCTTAGGCAGAGAAGGAATTAAACTCCAGGGCTGCCACAATGTGGGTAAGTGTCTTACCCAGCAGGCTATTAAGGGTGTGTGTGGACAAAACGGGGGCCCTCAATTGAAGCAGTGGGTTTTTAAAAACACCGCTTCAATTTAGGGCCCTTTAAACCCCTGTGTTGTGCATACACCCTTGCACTTACCTGCCTCTCCGGCAGGGAGGGGAAGGTGAGCTCCTGGCGGGCGGAGCAGTCCCTGGGCTGGGAGGGGGGCGGCTGGTGCTTCCTTCTGTGGCAGTGGTGCCCCCCCCACAGGTGGCACCCACCCACAGGCACCCAGCTTGGGCGGTCCCAGAGGGCACCACAGCTGCAGGGGGAAGCACCCCGTGCAGCTCAGGCAGGCAGGCAAGCTCCAGAAAAAAAAGAGAGATCTTGGGCAGAGCCTGCCTTCCTGGGCTGCTGCCAGGCTGCCTGCAGGGGCTTCCTACAGAGCCCCTGGGCTGCATGGAGCCTGGTGCTTCACTCGGCAGCTGCAGGGAGTTTTAGTTTGCTGTGCCCCGAGTCATTTAAGGTGCGTTATGCCACCAAACTCGTTACAGTGGCTGGAATTAATGCGCAATACGCCTCTGATGCATGCAAATGCCGACAGCATAAAAGCATTTAGCCCACTTTAAAGTGTCATGTGCACGTGCCCCTCATTTTGTCTACACATGGCAAGACACCAACTTCTTTCCCCACTGTATTTTCAGGGAAAGGAATGATTACCAATCCATTTCTTGAAGGGAAGGGTACAGGCGCCTGTATTCCCAGAGAGGAGGTTGGCACTGCCCACATAGCACTACCAAGGGGTCTAAACTCTAGTGACGGCAGGATTTCAGATAAATCAGGGTTATTTCTGTTTTGAAAACGGACGACGGTGCAATGTGAAAAGCAGGCTCGCTTCTGGCAGAACAGACCAGCATCCAAACTCAAGTTACGGCCATTATATTCCCCCGTGACATTCCCTGGTAAAACGATCTGCAGACTCATGCAACAAAAGTACCTTTCTCCTTCGTTTTGAGGCTTGATAATCGGAAAGACGGGAGTCCTGATTTCTTCTTCAAATGTCCTGCAGCTTCATGCAGCGGTTCACTCTCTGATGCATCAGCTTCCTGCACCTCGATGCCTTTTATAAAGAAATGAATAGAAACCAGTCTACCCAGTCCGTGTCACTCTTACTGCAGCGTACCATTAAAGCCTCTATGCTGTCGTTCGTATCAGATCAGCGCAGCAGTAAAAATGCTAGG